ATAATAGAAAAGTCCCTGGAAAATTATATTTTAAGGTCGCAACACCAGCAGAATGTTCAGACCCATGAGCCTGCCACAGATAATTTCCCCCATGGGATCTCCATAATGAGTGTGACTCTTTAATGAAACAAAAATCAGGTTTGTGCTGCTTGACAAACAAAAATAACGCTTTGCGCTTAACAGTATCCCTTATCCCCCTGGCATTGAGAGTAATGATAGATAAAGAGTGAATGAAAAGCACTTTGGTTAATATAGCTTAACTCAGCTTAAGGCACATGTTGACAGGTGTGGCGTTTACCACTTTCAGGCAGCTGGAAACAGTTCAGCCCCGTTGGCAAAGGCTCAACCGCCAAAGAAGTAAGCAGCCTTCCCTTGTTCTCGCGCTTTAGCCACCAGTGGCCACAGCTGCATCCTTCGCTCTCTGACTGCTGGGGACAGGTCTTCGGCAAAACGTAGCTTGTTGTTTCGAAGGAAGGTGGACTTCCTTGCAGCTTTCCAGACAGTGTCACGGTTTATACGGGCACCAAACTGTAGAATTATCCCTCGGGGCTTGGTGGCATCTTTCTTTGGTTGGCCGAGACGGTGCACTAAGTCAATAACATCGGGGAAATCGGCCTTGTGCTCCAGCAGGATGGATTGACAGATGTGTATCACCTCTTGGTGGACGTTCTGGTCTTTGTTTTCAGCCATACCGTAGAGTCGCAGGTTCCACCGTCGCGAATAGTTTTCCAGCTCAATTATTCGTTGTTCCAGTAGACTTGCCTTTTCTCCGCCACGTTGACTCGGTCATCAATGTGTGTCCCTTTACCTTTCACTTCAAGGATCTCAGCGTCAAACGTCTTCTTTAGCTCCTCAATCTTCAGTGTATTGTTGGAAATCATTCTCTCCACATTCTTTTCCAGAGAGTCGATTCTCGTATTGAAGATGACTGAGATTTTCTGCACAATACCTTCACTGTCTAGATCCAAGGAGCACTGCGACTTCATTTTCTTTGGTGCAGGAGGTTTGGAGGGAGTTGTGGAAGGAGTTATGGGGAGAGGGGGAAATCTGGGTCCCCGAGGGAGATCACAGGTGCATCTGCCATGCAGTAGTCGTGTAGGTTGTTCATAAGCGGATTCTCTGTCGGTACCTGCAAGCTGCCGTAGTTGTGGTATACTAACTGGCGATGCTATTAACCGAAGTTTCCCCCCCCGTGTGTCGTTAAGAGGCGAGAATTCTGCACGATACAAGCTTAACAATAAATTGACACAATGCACTCAACTCTGCATTAAGCTACCTCCAACAATATACTTTAAGTAACAATGTTTCACTAATATGCAAGTCTGAAGGTGAACAACTCCGGCGTATGTTCACTCACACCGCCATCTTGCGCGAGCCTCAATCCTGGAGCGCAGGTCAAACGATACAAATAATATTTATGTTAATTCTGTGTACATACAATTGTGTTAATTGTCAATTCAGATTAAATACAGTGATTTGTTTCGAGATTGTAAAAATATTTTAATTATGTCTAATGAGTGAAAACAGCATATAAAATATTAACATAATTTCTACAATAACAATAATGATTAACACACTAAATTAACGACAACACACTTTTAATTTAAATAAAACGGTCATAAACAACAAGATTGAAATAGTTAAATACACTTTATATAGTTTTAGATCAGAAACACTTTGTTTTAATGTTTTTTCCTCTTTTCTTTATTTATCTGACTGTTGGACTGTTGCTGCGTAGTTCTGCTGCCATTTTAGTATCAATATCATCAGAACTTATCGATCTTAATGGTATTGATATTTTAAAATAATGGAAAATAAAAACACACTTTTTAGCAGCCATTTTGAGAAACAGCCTTCAAGCTTTTCTTCCAACAGTAACTATTATGGATTAATGAGACAGGATCTACTAACACTAACTTTAACATTATGGGTTTGTTCCTTTTTAAAACATTTATTTTATCTGTGAGTATATCCTGGAAACTAAACATCAAACACTATTAAAATAACAATAAACTCAAAAATACAGAATATAAAAGACACTAAGCATTTTTTATCTTTTACAATCAATCGATTTAAAATAATGTAAACTCACCTGCCGCTGCGCCATGTAGACCTATTCCCAGCAGGACCACAAACATCAGGGTCTTCATTGTAAATTGTCACATTCTTTATCTTTTATTTCTTTATCCATAGAAACTCACACACAGTTGTTTCCAGTTGGAGCTTCAAGGGTGAAATGACGATAAGACACGAAGACAGCAACCTCCGTCTGAGCCAATGGGAATTTAGCTCGAGCATAATGTCACTTGTAACTAGGTAAAACTGAGCCACTGAAGTTATCAACGAAAGTGAAAGTAAAATGAATGTTGCCCAAGTATGCATGACTTCGGATAATTAACAGTATATATAATAGACAGAACATCTGGGTCTGTGAAGTGAAGCCAGTGTCTTAAAACCTGTATTCTTTGTAAAGGCCGACAGGGGGAGCTCCATTGGCTGCAATAACACACCGATCCCATTCACTCTGATGGAGAATGAGCCAACTTGTCACTTCATTTATGAGCTCAGTAAATATTTTCCTAATGAGTTTATGGTCTCAATCGCTCCAATTTAGAGTAAAATAGATGATTAAGCTGCGTGTGCTTTGAGGCAGGGCTACCTTATGATTGAAGTCATCCTCAGTGAGTCTGTCCACCGCAGCGCTCAAACCTCAGATCAAATGATCAAATACGAAGCAAGGTTCTGTTACTGCGTTGCCTTTTTCTCACTTAAAATTTTATTTAGAAAGTTAGTGTACTGTTTATCTGTAATACGAGATTGTGTGTGACCAGGCGAGCTGCCATTGTTTCGTGTTACAGATGAGTCAAAGCTGCACAGCCAATGAGTGCAGATCAGCTCGCAGTACATCACAATGGTACTCCACAAACCAGAGGGTTATGTCAGGATAGGTTCACTCTTGTGTCAGACACATGAATCTAAATAAGCATTGTGTGGCGATCGCAGTGACATCAACCACTTACTTTAAAAACACACTTTTAAAAATATAGTTTGTAACATTTAGGACAATCTGTGACGTTTCTCACGTAGCCCTTGATGACACAAAACAGGACGTTTTTGCTGTTTCGGCAAATTAGCTGTAATAGTTCATTCTAAATAAAGTATGCAAATCTAGTTGTGGAGGGTGAGAATAAACATTAACAGTTTTTCATTAGCTCAAAATTGTTAACCGTAACAAAAAACAGTGAAAGTGCTGGTCACTGAGATGGGTGGGGTAGGATGAGGGGTGGGGTATGCGGTGGCAGCAGCCACCCCTAAAAAATGCCTGACCACCCAAGCTGTCGCCCTTGTTTAGTGTAAAATTCTGTAAAATGAAACGCAAAAAATTACATTTCAATGGGGCACCTGGATAGCTCACCTGGTAGAGCGAGTGCCCAATGTACCAAGGCTGAATCCTTGCTGCAGCTTTCAAATCCAACTTGAGGCCCTTTACTGCACGTCATTCCGGTCACTATCGATTAAAGGTCATAAAAGACCCCCCCTCCCATTAAAAATGGAAATGATCACATATTATTGCATGGTTTTGGTGCTGATCTGATTGGCTGCTGTGTGCTAATGTAGGACAATGAAATTGTCTGTTTACCTTTGTAAATTAATACGCCGAAATAAACTGAATGAAAACAAAATGTGCATTTCTTATAAATGTATGTGATATGTCACATTTTTTTTTTGTTTTGCACTGAAAAATAATAGCAAAACTCTGCCAGA